TTGGCCTGCCTCTCAGTTGGCCTGCCTCTCAGTTGGCCTGCCTCTCAGTTGGCCTGCCTCTCAGTTGGCCTGCCTCTCAGTTGACCTGCCTTCCTCAGTTGGTCTGACTGTCTCTCAGTTGGCCTGACTCTCAGTTGGCCTGCCTTCCTCAGTTGGCCTGACTCTCTCTCAGTTGGCCTGCTTTTCAGTTTAACTGCCTCTCAGTTCCAATAGGAATTATGAAGCATAGAAAATAAATATTGACATTGACCCCGGACTAGAAATTTCTCGTTACGGTAGTCTGAGTGTGCCCCGCTGCACGGGCTGGTCCTCGCTAAAACGAGCATTAAAATGGTCATCACAACATTGCGAAAGATTTCCCATCCCATCTACATGGGTCGAGAACCAGGCCTCGAGATTCCGACGTGCCTTCTCTCCCTCTCTGTCTGTCTTATTCTTCCAATGGAGCTGGAGGGCGTGTGAGAGAGAAAAGGACAGACAATCGGGCAGGGTTCACCCTATGAACTCTCCAGCCACCTCGCCACCAACCAAACAGTCGCCAACAAAGAAAGGGGAGTCGATGGGCGCGGTGGGGCGGGGGGCGAATTCCAACCCCTGGGTTCTTTTTTTCCTACCCTGTGTGTGTGTGCGTGCGTGTGTCGGTGCGAGAAGTCCACTGCTCCCGAAACTCTTTCCCTGCCGACTTGCTGCGACCCCAGACTCCGACAGACTCTGACATGCATGGATGACACTTCCTGTATGCAAACCATGCCGCGCGGCCCATCCCTAATATATCGCTATTATTGCCGTATGTAAATAACGTGAAAATATAATGTATAATAACTTAGTTAGTTTGGAGGGCCTCGCACCCTCCATAATCCAACACGGCATTAGGGTCTTGACACGTCGCGCCGCGGAGGCCGCGGACGCAGCGCCAGTTTGTTGTTTCAAGGTCGTCTTGCCGTCTTGCCGTGGTCCGGGGAGGCGAAGGCAGGCGAAAGTGACGGACGAGTCACCTGCGACGGCGCCGAGACTCGAACCCGCGACAGGACATGAGACTGAGGCTTCCTGTAAGAAAGAACAGGAGGGAAAGACCCCCAAAGGAGCCCACCATCACCCCCCGTCCCTTCAAATTTTCCGCTGGCTGCGTGGAAATGGATTTTCCTCGATTTTCCCGGACTTCCTCGCTCACCGCGAACCCGTTGTTTGCAGCGAGCGGCCGTTGGCAGCAGTGGGAGGGGTGTGGGGCGGGGCGGGTTGGGGTGGGGCGGGGCGGGGCGGGGCGGGGGGGGGGGGGGGGGGGCGTGGCGGGGCGGGGAAGGGAGGGTGGCGCACAGTGAACGAAGTGAGCAAAGCTGATCCCCCGTAAACAGGCCCTAATTGTAATCGCATTAACTGCTCACTTCGCAGTGCTTCGCAGTGGTGCGAAATATTTACACAATGGGGAAAGAGAGGAGAGGGGTGCGCATCGCCGAAGAAATCGAGTGGCGTCTTGAAGAGGGACCAATGCAGGAAATCATGAAATACTGAATTTGAATTTTGCAAATAAACAAAATATTGTGACATTCTCATTATTTCCCGTTTTCTAGAGAGAGTTCATCCCGAAGCGACCGCATCGCGGGACACAATGTCAGCCAAAGCACTCACCCCATCAACACGCCGGGAAATAAAATCAAGTGAAGAGGGTAGACGGCACCAAAGGGTTGCGGCGTGGCCGAGGGCGTGGTGGTGTGTGGAAAGGGGGTGGGGGGTGCAGGAGGGGCACAGAGTGACTGCGATTTTTGCTGCCGAATCAGCGATCGCCATTCTGATTGACAACGAGACTTGATCCACTTTATTAAATCCGGCCTGTTTGCGGTCCCTTCAGGCCTTTTCAGTCCTTTGTGGTGCCGCCTTTATCCGGGCTAATAGCAGACACCGCGCTGCCAACACAATGCGCTTCCGGTCATTTCGGATTTGGAGGTGCGGCGCGCGTGCCGTGGCGTGCCCTGCCGCGCGCGTGTCAACAATACGGACGCAACTCTTTCTTTCAAATCTCCCATCATTGCAGCGGTTTCGACTCTGTGTGGCCCAGCCCGGCGGCGCAACAACCCTGCTGGTGGTTGGTGTCTAGCGGTGGGTCAAGCGTGATTTGTCGCATTGCCGGCATTGTAGGCATGTGGAATACGGTTTGTGGCGAGCTGCAAGTGGGTTGCGATGCGTTCCTGGCGTCCGAGACGCTCACCTCTTCTAGGGCTAATCGTTTCGTGTTGGCAGCTCGGGCTGCGCCGCGCGGCCATCATCTGTCACCTTATCCTCTACCCCTTGCCCCGCCCCGCCCCGCCCCGCCCCGCCCCGCCCGCCCCGCCCCGCCTCGCCCCGCCCCGCCCCGCCCCGCTCCGCCCCGAGGCCGGGCGGCCGGGCACATGCGGGTGATTCCAATAAAATACGAAACGCGTCACACGCGACAAGCATCCACACCTGGACGGTCCTTTTCCTTCTGTGCGGCGTCCTGCAAGGCAGTCCTCGACGTCGCTCCGTCTCTCTCGCACGGACAGTCGGAGCCCCATGAGTGCGAGAGGGACGGAGAAGACTGTTGGGAATCGGCCTGCCGCTGTTGACAACAAAAACGCCGTCTAACCGAACAGGAGGACGGTAGTGCCCAAGCAGGAGTGAGTTGGACGTTACTCTACACGTCCAGTCTGCCCTGCCGTCGAAGCCGCCTTGTTTCCCAGTGTGTGCGGACAGATGGGGGAGGGAGGGGGGAGGGGAACGATGCTGCCCCGTGCCAAAAGGGTGCCGGGAGTCATTGAACATTGAACCCTCCAGAAATGAGTAGGGAGGGAAACGGCCTCTTCGGGGCGTTTCCTCGTTCCCTCCGAGCCACCTCCGAGGACCCCGCCCTTGCCCGTCTTGCCGTAGCTGCGCCCCGCGCCCTCATCATCATCATCATCATCATCATCATCAGCGCTGTTAGGCCTCAGCAGACCTCTAGCGTTCGAGTAAGCAGCTACTGTAAGCGAAGGACTCAGACTAACGCCCCAGAGTGCGACAGAGACATGTCCCTCGGAGTCTGGTGCACCTGATGGCAGTTCGGTTCGGCAGCGTGCTCCGTGCCCCATTCCCCATTCTCCAGGCTTGCTTCGTCGTATCCTTCGCAGGAAGGGCTTTGGGGATGGAGTAGCAATTCCCTCCCCGACATGGCCTTGGCGGGCGCTGGAAGTGGCGTTCGAGCGGTTCGGCACTGGGGCCGAGGAGCGGCCTCTCTCTCCTGGCCTTCCCCGCCGCCCAACTTTGGAGCCGTCAAAGGGGGTTTGCACACGAGCCAAACGACCAGACACACGGCTTTTTAGAAACGGTGCGGGGAAAGACCCATGTGGAACATAGTCAGGCCCAAATCCGAAGCCAATACTGTCGGGAATTTCCCTCTTTCCTACACGGAGGTGGCCTAAACGTAACGGTTGTATGCGGTTCAGGCGTCTGCAGAAAAGTACCGAAAGGGCCCATAGGTTATTTTTCCCCGGTGGGATTCTGAATCGTAAAAGGAATTAAAATAGGGTAAATGATCTCCCTTAAACAAGTTTAGTATCCCTGGTAGGGCGTTTAAAACAGGGCAGGGGTTTAAAAAATCAAAACTCTGTTTCCGAAGGAGAACTGGGTTGGAATAAAAAAAGATACCGGGGGCGATCAAAAACACAGCCTTTCGGCACGACTTTTGGGGAAATGGGAACACCCCAGCAAAAGAAAATTAGTAAGATAAAAAGAATTGGATAGTTCCCAAACTGCATTTTAAACAAGGGGAAAATGACCCGGTTTTGGTTAAGCAATTTGGCAAATTAAATGAGTTGATTTATTTCACAAAAACATAAAAATGGAGAACTGTCGCCAACGCCTCTGTCCGCCGTTCGCCATGACACCCCGCCGCGCCGACCGGGCCGTGTTGAGCCGCGCCAAAACAGAGTCTGTCTCTCTCTACAATCTTCCAGACAGCTCGAGCTACTGAGTTATTCGGGATTTAAAGGTGAAATATGAAAGTAATGGTCGGAAAGGGGTGCAAATCGTTCATCCGTGGTCCTTATGGAGCAATATAAGCTACGGCATTGCTTTCTATGTAACATATTAAGGGCGCTAGAGACTGACAAACAGGAAGGTGCACCAGGGAATCACCACTCCATACAAATGCCCTCCTCCAAGGTCGTATCCGTGTCCGCACCGCGAACGCGTTCGTCTTTGCCGCGACCGTGCCGGTGCTGCCGGTGCTGCCGCTCGCCAACACGATGCTGCCATCTGGCGGGGGACGCTGGAAGCTCGGCGCGCGAGCAGAGTGGTGCGGCCTGGTGCCGAGGGAGCGCGCCACCGCCACCGTGGGCCGCCACCGCCGCCAGCTCGTCAAGCACGTCAAGAGGAGGTTAGTGTACAGGCGCGCAAACGACCAGACAGCGACCGGCGAGGTTTTGTGGAGAAACCCGGTGACGGGAAGGAGAGCCGATGTGGAACAGTAGTGCAGGCCGACGTCCGATGCCACATGTGTCAGGGAATTCCCTCATTTCCTCCCACGGAGGTGCCGGCCCCCCCTAAACGTCAACGGTGCTCTGCCGGATTCAAATTTTCGCGCGCTGCTGTGTTTCAGAAAAGTACCTTGAATGGGCCTTTGCGCTTGATTTTTCACAAACCCCAAGTCGTATAGGGATTCTGAACTTTAAAAGGGACATTACTAGAGTGTGTAAGAGTTGCTACCTCTCCTTTTCAACACAATAATTGACTTTCCCTCGGTAGGGTCGTCAACAAGCAAGTGACAGCCGTTCTCTCTGGTGTGAAAAGAGAAAACTCTCTGTTTGCCTGTAAAGGCCGCGCCGAATGGCTGGACGAGAGATAAGAAAAGATACACGAGGAGCGAAAATAAACACAGCCTTTCTGGTTCACGCTCCATTCATGTTTTGAGTGAAACTCGCGCCGAACACGGCACCTGAGATCCGTGAAAAGAAGGGAACGTTTACCTGAGGTGACGTCACTCACGTATCAACCAATCAGAAGCTTGGATCGGCCCGAGTTGCGCAGTGACACAATTCTATGTTACGAGCAAGGGGAAAACTCGACTCGGCCATCTTGGATTAAGCAAAAGTTTGTAATGAATTAAAATACCGAAGACGTTTACGTTTATGTTTGACAAAACATAAAATTATTACTCCTAAATGGGTTAGTATAGTTGGTGCCGCATTGCCTAAAAATTGGTTATCCTATGTCGACGTGCGATCAAGTGCAGAAAAAAATGTTTGTTTTGTGAGTGCGGGATGGCCCGTACTCGGTCGAGTGGATGTGGCTGGTGTGACACTGAAGCATTTCTCCGGCTAGCCGCTGCTCTTGCGCCGCGGGTGGCATTCGCAAATTGAACCAAAGTGAGCACGAGACGCGGTGTAGTAATGGTCAAGATCCCAGTGCCTCGGCCGGCTGCGGCTGCCCTCTGCGAACGGACAGCCGAGAAGCCTATTTGCCATTGGAGTGCTCGTCTCGACTCGACTCGACCTGTGGGAACAGATTTGGATGTCCTGCTGGCATGTCTTTGGGCTTTTCATTGAGCCGGCGTCCTTGGGCAGAGCCCAGCTCATTTTGGGACGTCGCTGCCTGCAAAGGGAATGTGTGTAAAGTCAGAAACCAGAATTGTACAGCGATCCTTCAAAACTTTTTAAAGGCCAACTAACCTAACTCTCTGTTGGCCTATTTTTGTGGTTTGAATACACCTCCAAGTACCTGATACAGTTCAGGTTCGGTCAATCCGGTTGAAAGATGTTGGTCAATTGCGTATTTGCTGTGCCTTTGGTTAATTTAAAGGCTGAAATGCCTGTTAGTTTGAGCACTGAGCTCAAAGCAGAATAAAATTTTGTGTTTGGGGGGTCCTCTTGGAGCCCCCCTGTAGCTCAGTTATTTTGAGTCCTGTGAGATCATCATGGTCTATGTATTTCTTAAGAATGGTTGAAAGCTTGATTTATGGTTGCACATGATTTATATGTATAGAAAAGACTTTTTACCCTTTCTTATGCAGTCTAATGTCATTTTTGATGTTCAATTTGGAATTATTACATTAATATTTATACCTATCTAGGTTACTGTTTACATGATCAGGATCTATTACTCATAGAATATCTGATAACCATTTTCATTGTACCTGTGTACCATTGAAATCAACTTTACCATGGTATCAAGCTCCTGAACTGCTTGATAGTTAATAATGATTCAATGGTATGTGTACTTACATGTGTTTGAGGCCTGCTGGATGTTCTGAGGGATAGTGGTAGCTGGCTCAGGTACTGCAAGGCTAGTGAGTGTCTGCTGTAATGATAGCAGATGCCTCTTATCAGTCTTCTATTTGGTCTGGTTCAGATTGTGAGGCTTGTGTGTGTTCTGCTATCAGATAAGGCCAGTGTTGGTCATAGAAACTGGATAAAGATTATGCGAAACCTTTCCAAATCCATGTAGAAAAAATACCCACACCTATCTGCTTGTGTTTTGACCATTTGTTGTAACCTGATCTGGAGCCTTAACTTGACTTCAACTTAAACGTAGTCTTATCTTACTTGCAGCGTTTGATTCTAAATTTATTTTCTGTGGGTTTTGCTATTGCACTTTTATGTGTTTAACTTGTGGTTTTGTTTCTACAGGTGTAATGCGTCATTGTACAGATCCACAAACTTGATGCTGGATGGTAGGACAGTCAGCTGGGTACACCTGAACATTGTGACCTTTGCGTCGTGTGCATTTTCACATTTTGTTCACACTGGCGACGATGTCGACCGGCATGCGTCCTACACTGCAGACTGTGCCAGAGTCTGTACCCGCTGACCATGTTAGTAATGCTAGCGGAAAGGTAAGTCCAGTTCTCTTTTCATTTTAATTAAGGCATGAGACAATGCATGTCATAAAGACAAAAAGAATTGAATCGTATTCTAGTAAAACATTTTCATGGTCTCAAAGTTTGGCAAATGATGACATTTATGAAAATCAATCAAGAGTCATTTGTCATGAACTATACCCTTACTTTTCTATATCATTGTACAGAATGGCATCTTTGCCTAAACAGTGCTGTGTCAAATTTGAGAAAGAGTAAGAGAAAGTTTGTGGGCCTGGAAATGTCTTTTTCTCCATGCATGGCTGCATAGAAAAGTAAAAATTCTTGTGGCTGTATGCAGACCGTGATATGCGTATGGGGATCAATTTGGCCAGACAATTGCTGTCCCCCGGACAGTGCGGGGACGGGTGTTCTGCATGCGGCTGTTCGCATTATCGGCGTCGGCTCGGCAGGTGGCGCGAGCGCCGTCCTCCGTCCTCGTGCTGCATATTGGGCCTCGCTCCTGAATTTGGTTGTGTGTGCGTGTCTGTCATTTTGTGCCCTGGCGCCGCGACGGGCGTGGGGGAGGGGGAGGGGGCGTCGGCCTGGCAGGGCGTGGCGGCGTGGCGGCGTGGCGGGGCAGGCGACAAGCCCGGGCGAGGAAAGAGGAAAAGGGGAAGGAGGGGGGGGGGGTCACGAGGCGTGTCGGGCAGAAAGGCGTGAAGTGAAGCTGATCCGGAGGAGTCCGGCCTGCCCTGCGCCCCGTCCTGTCACTTGGATTCCGCCCCGACCTTGGCCCGGCCCCTTACGGCCCCGCCTCGCCAAGGGCAGGACGCTGCCTCGCGCGAGCATACGGCACGCCGCGGAGCAGGCCAGTAGACCGATTCCGAGTGGGAGGTCTCTCTCGCACTCATGTGGCGCCCCGCACGGGAGAGGTAGACCGACGGCCGCACGGGCCCAGAGGCCGTTGTCGTCGTCGTGGGTTCGACTCCCGGCGGCCCCTTTTCCTCCTAGTCTTGACGCCGGGTTCGCGTGCTGGCGGTGCTGGCGGCGCCGGTGCGGCCGAGGGCGCGGGTTCGACTGCCGCCGATAGCATCTCGCTCTTTAGACGCGCCGCCACCTGATTCGGCTGCTGTTGGCGTGATAACGCCGCCGCCTTCAGCCCCGCAGACTGATGCTCTGTCTCTGTCGCACTCACGGGGCGTGCCGTGCAGGTGCGAAAGAGAGACTCTCTCGGAGTCAGTCAGCAGCCCTTCAGTCCTTTATCGCCGCGCACACACCGGAGCAATAACTCAGCGTGGCGCTATTTTAGTCGCTTGCTCAAATATGGCGCGTCGCGGCGTCTGGCTGCGCTTGGCTGCACTGGGTTCGGCTTGTTGCTCGAGGAAGTGGCCGCCGCGATGGAGTGCTGTGCCTGGGGCCGGGGCTGGCCGGACTGCCTGGAGGCCTGGAGGGTCGCCGATCGGCCCACGACACGCCGCGCCGCCCCACCTGCGGCCCTGCGGCCCTGTGGCCTCGCGGGGTGCACGCTGACGTGGCGCGCCACCGTTTGGAAATGTGACGGGGAATTTGATCTCGATGACGTGGTCGGGGCGCCCCGCGCCGCCCCGCGCGGAGGGTGGGGGAGGTATCGGGTTGAGTGACCTGCAACGGAGGGGTGCGGGCCCGCGGCCCCGCGGCCTAGGGGCCCAGGGGCTGTGACATGCAGGGGGCGTGGTGCAGTGCAGGGCCCCTTGGCGACGACGGTGGTTAGGTAGGCGTCGGGGAGTCGGACGACTGGCCGTCGCGACAGCCGCGCTCCGCCCCCGCCTGCTCGGCCTTGACATTAGCGCCGCCACTACACTGCACGCCCCTCCCCACGCCCTCGGATGGCCACGCCGCGCCCCGCCCCGCCCCGCCCCGCCCCGCCCCGCCCCGCCCCGCCCGCCCCGCCCGCCCCGCCCGCCCCGCCCCGCCCCGCCCCGCCACCCCCCCCCGCCCCGCCCCGCCCCGCCCCGCCACGCCCCGCCACGCCCGCCCGCCCCGCCCGCCCCGCCCCGCCCCGCCCCGCCCCGCCCCGCCCGCCCGCCCCGCCCCGCCCCGCCCCGCCCCGCCCCGCCCGCCACGCCGCGCCCCGCCCCGCCCCGCCCCGCCCCGCCACGCCCCGCATGCGGTGCTGGCGGCTCTCGCGGTGCGCACGCCGGGGGGCTTGGCCAGTATCCTCTGCCTGTCAAAATAAATGGCGTGTGTATCTGGCGCTCGTTGTCGGCGGGCGGGCCGCGCTGGCCGCCCTGGCCGCGCTGCGCCGTGGACGTCCTCCGTCCGCGGTGCCATGACCTTGCCGTCGTGGCCGCGGGGTTGTTTTTATTTACAGTAACATGGAAATGAGGGGCGGGGCTGTCTCGGTGAGCAAGGCGGGCAAGGCGGGGCGCGGCGTTGGCGGAAGTGGGGTAAATATTTCCTCCCCCGGCGAGGGCGGCCCGTAGGCGCCGTAGGCCGTGTGCACAGCGGGGTGGCGGCCGGCGTTGGCACGCCGGTGTTCTGGTGTCATTGCTCTGGGCCCCTGCCGGCCCGGGCCCCGGCCCGGTGACAGCCGGCTATGCTCGCCTCGGCTCGATCTTGGTGTGGCTGCACTGCACTGCAATCGATAGGGCTGACGCTCTCCCCTCCGCGCTGCGCGCCGCCACGCCCCCCGCGGGGCCTAGGGAGCCCCAGCCGGCCCGGCGCCGCGCGTGCGCCCCGCTCTGCCACGCGCCGCCCCGTGCCGGCCCGGCCGCTCGCCGGACCAAACGCGGCGTGCCGCACGGCGGTGTTTGTCCTGGTGAACGCCTATCTGATTAAAATTGTCCTTTCCAGGTGAGTTCGAGCACGACCAAGCCGGCGCAGCAGGGCGAACTGACGACAGCGGTGAGTATACTCTACCTGCCCTGCCCTGCCACCCCCTTTTTCCGCGGCATGATCCGTGCGGCGCGTCGCCGTGAAGCCCCTCGCGGTAATCAGGGCCCTGTCACGCCACCGGCAGCCCCGCCTAGCGCCACGCCGCGCCCCGCTGGGGTATTTATAGTGATGCGGTCGCGTGTCTTCTGGCGGGGCTGGCAGTGCAGCCCGGAGCTGGCCGGCCGGGCTGGACTGGACGTCACTTCACCCCGCTGCCTGGCGCGGCGTGGCGTGGCGTGGCGACTAGCGGACGTACATCGATCTGGCCGTCGTCTTTCCCCGTCGCGCTACCCTGCCGTCGTTCGGCCGCTCGGCCGGGCTGCTCTCCGTAGTGACCCTCGTCCTTTTGCACGGAGAAGCCCCGCCGGCCGCCCCTAATTATGTTGTGCATGCCGGGCACCGCCGGGCACCGCGCGCCGATAAGCCATGAGGCCAATTTTTATTTTATCTTCTACCACCGCCGAGGTTGCCTGGCGTTGCCTCACTCCGGCGATGCGGGGGCCGCGGCGGGGTTATCGCGTCACGAGGTCGCTTGAGGCTCCCCGCTGCACACGGACGCGGCGACCGCGTGGCTTCGGTTTGCACGGCACAGGTTGGCCGGCAGGTCGGCGCGGTGCCTCGCGGTGGTCGCGGCCCGGCTTGGCTCTGCAGACCCGCGCTCGGCTGGGCCTCCTCGTCCCGCCCGTCCCGTCCCGCCTCGCGGTGCCGGTGTGCCTGGCTGGCGCGGCTGGCGTGGCGTGGCTGGCGCGGCCTCCGTCCGCGGTGCGGCACACTGGCGCGGCGCGGTCGGTCGGTCTCTCTGACTCAGTGTTCTGTCGGTGGCCACGCAAGGTGGTCGTGTCGACGCGCGCCCGCCACTGGGACTTCCCCGACGACTACCTCCGCGAGTGCTTCCGCGTGCGTGTGTGTGTGCGTGTCGCAGCGCGTGTGGTGGTGCGTTCCTCGAGAAGTTGGTGTGTGTCTGAGTTTTTGGTCTGATAGGGTGCCCGTTGGTCGAAACGGTGTAAAGCGCCCGGAGTGGAGTGACTGGCGAAAGACCCGCCGAAGATTCGTGGTCGGAGGGATGTGATTGGATCCTCTTCTTCTTGTTCATCATCGTCATCGTCCTCCTCGCCGACGACAAGCAAGAGTCCCCGGCGTCCCGTTGGTGGTTGGTGTCCGCGACCACCCCCTAGACCCCTGTCCCTTTGTGTCTCCATGCTGGCTGGCTGGCCGGCACCAGGATGACGGCGACGACGGCGTAGATTGCGACGTGCTGCCGCAGCTGGGCCGACACTCTGAGGCCGTGGCGGTGACGCGCGTCAGGCCGCTCGGAAACATGGCGACCGCGTTGGGAAACTTTGCCCCGCATTATCGGATTGTAATTGGCCGCGGACGCTGCGGACGCTGCAGCAGCCTGCACTTGTTGTTGGCGGCCGGGCGGGGCGGGGAGGGGTGGGTGTGGCGGGGCGCGGCGCGGCGGGTGTGGCGGGGCGGGCGGGGCGGCGTCATTTTCGCATTGTCTCCTTCGCGCGGTCCGTGCATTATCGCGAAGGGCGGGGCTGTCCGGTGCACTGTAGGGCCTGGGCGGCACTGCCGCGGCAGGGCGGGTCCGGTGGCCGGAGCCGCGGAGACGCGGGGGGCGCGGGGAGCCGCGAGTCGCAAGAAAGGCCTGCGTCTGGTTGCCGCGTTCGCCGCGTTGCGTTGGCAGCCTTGGCGTCCTCCACGTGCCGCTCTGCCGCCCGACGTGGTACAGTCTGCGCAGCCAACTTGCCGACTGCAAACTTGCAGACTGGCGCGGCAGCGCGGCGAATAGATATGGCCTGAAGAATTTATACGCGCTGCTAGACTGTGTTTTTCTTTTCTCTATTTTTCAAGCGTCGCGGCGGCCGCGTGCTCGATCTCTCTCTCTCTCTCTCTTCCTCGCGGCGTCGCGTGCGCACTCGCGGAATCGCTGACACTACTGACACGCGGGGGCGCTCGCGGTGTGTCTCACGCCGCTCACGTGCGCGGACTGGGCAGTAGGGCTGCGCGGCAGCGCCTTTGCTCCCGCCTTGCTCCGCGCCCTTGCTACTTGCTGTTTGACATTGGCGCGGCGGGACGCCTTGATTTACAGCCGCTTGACGATAAGCTCGCTCGCAGCGCCCCGGCCCGCCCCATGACATGGCGTGGCTGGCTATAAATTTGTCATCCGCTGAGATTTCGGGTTGAATCTGGCTGGCGCGGGTCTGGAGCGCCTCGCCTGGCGCGCACCGTGGAGGGGACTAGGGGACTCGCTGGCGTCTTGGCGTCGTGGTCTTCCTCATCTCGTATGCAAATCCTCGGCTCGGCGGCCAAGGCTGCAGGTGCGCTGCAGGTGCATGGCCGCGGCGGGTGGGCGTGGCGCGGTGTGCGCTACTGCGCAGCAGCTGCAGTCGCTCTGGGACATGCCTCGTCCGCGGGTTCGAGTCCCGCCGCCCGCCTTTGTTTATTTTGCCCGGCGACGCGCTGACGCACCGGCCCGGCCTGCCAGCCGGCTAGTTCCGCGTTTTGGCGCGCTCCCAGTCGCGCCCAGCCGGTACCCGCGCGGTACCCATCGGAATGCACGCTGGCCGCTGGGCGAGCTGGGCGTAGAGCGTGGCGCGGGCCGCGGCGTTGCCGGCCCGGCGCTGGAGCGGGGCCCAGGGGGCGGGGCCGGGGCAGGCCGCGGGCCTGGCGGAGCCTGGCGGGCACCGCGCGGCAACGCGGCGTCGTGTCCAGCGGCTCGCCCAGCACGGCCAGCACGGCCAGCACGGCCCCTTGACGGACTGTCCCACTGCAGACGCCGCAGACTGCCTTCCGCCTCCGCGGTTCTCTGTAGTGCGCGATGCGCGACCAAAAATGGGATGACGTTCCTCCGGGCGGGGAAGGGAGAGAGGGGAGGGGGGATCGAAGTAGGAAGCGAGGCTGCTCGTCATCCTCGTCGGACCTGGCCAAACCTGGCCCGCCGGTACCCGCTGGCTGGAGGCTCGGCCCTCCGCCTGGTCGCGCGGCCTCTCTCGCACCTACGGATCGCCGCGCGAGTGCGAGAGAGAGAGATGGTCGGGATCGCTGTCCCGCCGGGATTGGCGCCTTCGCGCGTCGCCGTCTGCTCGTTCCGCGCGGCAGTTTTCTCGTTTTCTCCGCGATCGGTCCGTTGCCGCCCTGCGCCCCTTGTTGCGTTCGGCATTATCGCCTGGTGACGCAACGCGCAGCGCCGCAGTCTGGGACACCCGGAAAGCTCCCGGAAACGCCGGGGAGGCGAGGCGCGCGAGGCGCGTCGGGGGAGTGGGGACCATGCCTGGGGCCCCTGGGGCGCATGTAGGAAGCGGTGCGCAGAGAATAGAACGCGGAACACCGAAACGAACACCACCACGTGGCCGCCCAGCCAGGGCAGCCAGCCAGCCAGCACTGAGAGACACTGCGGGTTGCGTTCCCCGTTGGTGGCAACCCAACCCCAAGCCCCCTCTGACCCCAGGACTCGGCTCGTCGTGGTCAGTTGGTCGACACCTTCGACAGACGACGGCGCGACGGCTCTTCGCGTCCATGCCGACCCGGCCGAGGACGCCGCCGTGAAGCCTCCTCGCCCAGACGGCCTAGACGGCCCAGACGGACTCCGGCCCCCTGCCCGGGGGGATGCTCGGCGCGGCCAAGCCGGCCAAGCGCTCGAGCGGTGACACTCGGTCGGCGAGCGACATGCCCCTCGCCGCCACCGTCAAGAACCACATGCTGCGCTTCTTGCGGCGGTCCAAGAGCACGAGCACGCGCCCGCGCGCCGCCGACATGGTGATCCCCAACAAGCAGAGCGTGACGAGCCCGCCCGTGATCGCGGAGCCCTTCCCCATCGCGCTGGGGTCGGCGGCCGCGTCCGCGCAGCACCACCGCCACCGCCACAGCAGCGCGGCCGCCCACGCCAACGGCAGCGCCAACGGCAGCCACCACGTCGCCGCAGCGCGCTCGCGCTCCGTCAGCAACCGCAGGGAGGTGCACCGGCCGCACTCGTCCGCGCGACGCGCCAGGGCTCAGGTAAAGGCTAAAGGCAGCGACAGGGTCGGCGGCGTCGCGACGGCGGCGGCGCGGACGCCCGGACGGACGGACCGCGTCGACTCGGCTAGACTCGCGACGGAGGCGGCGCCGCGGACTGCCGCGGACTGGTTCGTTCTCACGGCCACGCCGGCCGCCTCTCCCTTCCTCTTCCCTGAGACACTTGTTGACGCCTTTCACCGGGCATAATGTCGCGTCCGTCCCGTCCGCCGCGTCCGGCAGCGCGTAGCGGGCAGCGCGCACAGCGCGAACGCGAAGAAAGGTCGTCCGGCGGACGGGGGGACGGACGTCGGCGCGGCGAGTGCTCCAAGGATCCGCGCGGTACGGTCAGTGGCCCCGCGTCCCGCGCTCCGCCCTGAGGAGGCCCGGCCGGCTGTCGGTCCTAATCGCTACCGATTTGGACCGCCGCGAATCGGCTGGGCGTGGCGGTAACCTGCACGCGGGGGCCGGAACGGAGCGCCGTCCCGGCGCACTCGCCGATCGACTTGTAGGCGGCGGCACGCTCCGGGCCCGGCCCGGGGATGGGATGGGTTCGGGCGGCCGGCGGTGATCTCACACCGAGCCTGGCGGGGACTGACCCGCGTGCGCGCCGCGCGCGCCGAGTGGGCGTGGGGCCCGTGGGGCCGGTTTGGGGGCCGCCGCGAGGCTCGTCGCGCTCGTCGCCTCCCGGCCCGCCGGCCTGCGGACTGATTCCGCACAGCCGCTTTGTCCCTCTCACACCCAGACGGGACGCCCAACGAGTGCAACGGAAACAGCGACGATAAAAGCTCTTTTCGGAACCGACCCGCTTCCAGACCCGAGGGTCTCTAGACCCGCTGGCGGCGTCCGCCCGGGAGGCAGGCTGTCCCGCCGCACGGCGGCGCACCGCGGGCCGGCAGCTCCGCCCCTGGCCTCGGACAAGACAAGACGGCCCAGCGAGCGGCGTGTGCGCAGGTGCGCAAGCGTATGGCGAGTTGTGCTGACGGCCGGCCGACGCGCGCGCAGGTGCATGGCGCGTCGGTCGGTGTTTCGCAGCCGTTTCGGCGCAGCGGCGCTGCCTGCCCTTTCGAAACCCGACTCCTGCACTGGCGGCGCAAGTGCACTCGGCGCAAGTGCACTCGGCGCCCGTCACTTTGTTGATGACTCATCCACTGCGCTGCACTGCGCTGGCCAAGGACATCGCGATCCTCGCCAACCTGCCGCTGCAGCGGCCACATCGGCCGCAGCTGCAGCGGCAGGCGGCGAGGAAAATAACCCGGGATGGGATCCATTCTCTGCGAGCTGTACTATTCCACGCTCCACTTCGCCACGCCTCGTAGTGGTGGTAGTAGTTGCGCCGCGTCGAGTCGCCCGAGGCACTGCAGCGCGAGGGCGCCTCTGACTCACGGACGGGGCGCCGCGACGCCGTGCTCCAGCGGCGCTCCAGCCTCCCCCCCCCTTCCCTCCCCCTCCGCCCGGCGCAGCAAATTGGCTCTGATGAGATGTGCGGCAAGGCAGGCAAGGCCGCGCGGCGCTGCTGCGATTTGGTGGCCGAGCCCGCGCAAGCCGTGCTGGCCGTGGAGGTGACCAGAGCGCTCCAGAGGTGACACGGTGCCGAGCCAAGCGTGTCGGCCTGGCTTGGGCCCGGCCGCGGCCCGGCCGTGAGCCACGCGCCCTGGCGGGGCCCAGGCGGGGCATTTCCATACAGAGGCATTGCACAGGCCTCAGGCAAAGGTTGCCCCCTCGAGATAGGGGCCCAGGGCAAGTTTGGGGCTGCCCGTCCGAGTGGATGACTCAGTCCATTGTGCGGGCGGCTGTCGCGGCTGTCACACACAATGGCGGGACGCGCGGGACGGCACTAGCAGTGCAGTAGCGGAACCTGCCGCGGCGCCGCGCTCGGAACGAAGCGAACGCGGTGAATCACGCCAATTGGCCGATTTGGGGTTCCGGCTGGGGTTTCGGTTTTCCCTTTTGGCGCGCTCCAGTTGGCGCGCCGGCCGCGCTGGGCCGCTCTGCTTGCGGTGTAGGCCCTGTCCGAGGCTCGGCCGGCCGCCGGCATTCCCCGCGTGCCGTCCACGCGTCGTGCCGCCCCTAACGCAATTACCCTGCCGAGCGACGCCGGAGGGGCGTTTGTCCGCCGTCTCCCTCGCACCTCTGGGCGACGCCCCGTGAGTGCGACGGAGGCAGCGGCGACACGACTCGTCGCAACGAGCCTGCCGGCTAACGCTGTTAGGCGCCCCTCGCTGTTGTTGTTGTCGGTGTCCCTGTACGGCCTCCGCTACCGAGGCGCCCCTCGCTGTTGTTGTTGTCGGTGTCCCTGTGACGGCCTGCCGGCTAACGCTGTTAGGCGCCCCTCGCTGTTGTTGTTGTCGGTGTCCCTGTGACGGCCTGCCGGCTAACGCTGTTAGGCGCCCCTCGCTGTTGTTGTTGTCGGTGTCCCTGTGACGGCCTGCCGGCTAACGCTGTTAGGCGCCCCTCGCTGTTGTTGTTGTCGGTGTCCCTGTGACGGCCTGCCGGCTAACGCTGTTAGGCGCCCCTCGCTGTGTTGTTGTCGGTGTCCCTGTGCGGTGGCTACGCTTGGCGCCCTCCTGTTGGTTGTCGTGTCCCTGGACGGCCTGCCGGCTAACGCTGTTAGGCGCCCCTCGCTGTTGTTGTCGGTGTCCCTGTGACGGCCTGCCGGCTAACGCTGTTAGGCGCCCCTCGCTGTTGTTGTTGTCGGTGTCCCTGTGACGGCCTGCCGGCTAACGCTGTTAGGCGCCCCTCGCTGTTGTTGTTGTCGGTGTCCCTGTGACGGCCTGCCGGCTAACGCTGTTTGGCGCCCCTCGCTGTTGTTGTTGTCGGTGTCCCTGTGACGGCCTGCCGGCCCGACGGCCCGACGGGGTGGGGGAGGACGCCGGCCGGCCGGGCCGCCCTGTTGACCCCCGCGTTGACCTTCGGTGATTGTGGCAACGAGCGCACACTGTACTGACGCGAGGCTGCGGCGTGCACGCGCGCTCCGTGCGGGGACCGCCGGGGACCGGGGCGGAAAAAAAAGGGGACAACAGAAACGACGTCAACTTCCAAAACGACGGTGTCGCTTTACGAGCGTGCGCTTGCTTGGAAATGAAAGTAAAAAGGAGGCGGATCGCGAGCAAGCACGAGATGGGCAGGGCGCTGATGTGGGTCACGGTCATCATCGCGGTGACGCTATCTCGGCGGCTCGCTCAAGGGAAGAGCGCGGGGTGTTTTGAACGGCGTGCCGGCACCGCGTGCGGCACCGCGCCACCTGCGCGTTGTTTTTTGTGTCCGTATCAGGCTTTCCCGCCTTTTTGGCCCCGGGCTCGCGCCACCGCGCCGCGCCACGCCCCGCCACGCCACGCCACGCCACGCCACGTCGCGCGCTGCGCCCATGCTAATAGCGTCTCGCGCCTCAAAGTGGAGGCGTCCCCGAGAATGTCTCTGCATTCCTGGGGCCAGGGGCTCCCCGTACGTGGCAGGAATACATCCCATCTCCGCCCTCTCCCCGGCCCTCCCAGTGTTTGGTCGTGTGCCTGCCGGCCTCGCTGCATGTGTAATGACGCTGTGTTGTTGTTGTTTCAGGTATGTGCACCGCGGAGTACTCGAGCAAAGGACCCGATCCATGGCCGGGGGGACAGCACGCCCAGCAAGGTGAGCCGCATGAGCGTAGTGGTGGGTGGGGGAGAGAAATGGCAATGACCCGCCAGGGCCAGGTTGGCGGAGGTAGAGGCTGGTAGAGGCCGCCTGCAGGAGAGGGTTGGCGCTGGAGGGCCCTCGCGCGCCGAGTCTGTTGTCTCTCCACTGACCAGTGTAGTCGTCGCGGCCGTCGCGGCGGCCTAGTCCTGCACTTGCCGCCGTGGTCCCGGTGGGCGGGGGGCGCGCCGCGGCAGCAGTGTCGAATCATCTGAAGCTCAAGGTCTGCAGGAACTTGACTGACGACGGCGGACCGCGCCGCCAGCTGCCGGAGCAGCGCCGCCGTCACGTTGTCACGTTCCGCGGGGGCGGGGCCGCCGGCGTGCTGGGCCACTCTTTTGCAGTGTGGCGAGTGGCGGCCGCGCTCCTCTTGTTTGCCGCGGCCCCCTGCACCCCCCTCGCGAGGCGCGCGATGCCAGCGGGGCTGGATCAAAGTCGGCGCCCATTGTGTATTTGTTGGCTTGTTCGGCGCATTGATCCCCGAACTGGTCGATTGCACTGTCGCGACGCTAACTGGACGCTGCACTGCTGGAGACGCTGGCCGCGCAGCGTGGAGACGGGAGGAACGCAACGCCGCGACCTCGGCGCCACCCTCGTGTGGGCCGCCGCCGCGCTGCCCCGTGCCGCAGTGAAAGTCTCCGTCTCGCCGCGAGCATCGGGACTCGCCACCGCCACCGCGGCGGTAAAACTAATCCAGCGTGAACAGTCTCTCCGTCTCTTGGTTTTGCAGCGGCCGTGCGCTGTGATTGCTTCCAGGGCACGCGGCGGTGCTATACTAGTGTGAAAGTTTGCCCGTTTTCGACAAGCGGCTCTCTGCCGTCAAGTGCCGCTAGTGCCGGTTACCGCACAATGGCCACGTAACGGCCGCGGTGCCGCGTTTCCGAGAAGCTATGCCGCCGCCGGGGTGGACGCCTCGCCTCTCTCTGTCTCTGTCTGTCGCTCCCGTTGTGCGTCTTGCCTATATTTAGGGGCCCTGCCGTCGGCACCGTCGGCCTGCCTCATTGGATAAGTGGCCGAGGACCGGCGAGGCTGTCCCTGTCCGCGCCGGCCTTGGCTGCCTTGGCGGACACACCGCGGTTCAAGAGCGTGGTGGACGCGGTTCTGCCAGGTTCTGCCAGGTTCGCACCAGTGCGGTCGGGACGTTTTTGGGCTCGTCGCGCTTGCCTGGCGGCAACCCCCTCCCCCCTCCAATTTTTTTGTAGGTCGACCGGCGTAGTGCCATGCTCTCTGCTGCTACACTTTTGTGTGGTGACGTTCTGTTATTTTTTTGTGGTGCCCGCTCTCGTGATGGAGGGATTAATTCTGAACGAACGAGCTGTTTGCGAAAGGCCACGGGAAAAAGGGGGGGGGGGCTGTCTGTCGTTCTCGATTCTCTTTCCCACCAGAGCACGCGCGGCGCGGCATGCGAATTCGGACGCCGCCGTGGATGGCGTGGCGGCCCCTCTAGGGCCCCTCGGGCCGCGCTGGCCGCGCTGCACGAGTGCATGTGGCCGGCCGGCCTAGACTTAGCGGCGCCACCAGTGTGCTGTGGCGCTCCGCGCCGATCGGGCATGATCCGTCAGAATCCATTGCGCCAAGTGCCATTGTGTTTATTTTGCCTGGTGTGGCGGACTAGCGGTGTGATGCCCCTCGCGCTAAATATACTCTGCTTGTTTACTCTCCCTAATGTGTATTAGAGCATCGAGTCTGTCTGTCTGTCTGTCTGTCCGTCGCGGTCCGTCCGCCGGCTGGTGGATGTGGTCAATGAGTGGCGGTGCGCCGAGCCGCATGCCTTAATTAATGGCAACGCGCTCCGTCCTCGTCGCTCCCCGTCGCGCTCCTCGAGTGCGAGAGAGAGAGGGGGAGTGACGCGGCGTGCGCTCGCCTTATTTTCCTCTTGTCCTTTTTCCGTTTCGGACGCGGCCTTTGGTTCGGTTTGGGCGCCGACGGCGCCGACAGCTCAGCGCGGCCCGCGGACCACTCAGTTCGTCCGTCAGCCCGAGTCGCGCTGGGACGGACGGCGGTGCGGCGGTCTGCCTGCCTGGCTAGCTCGGTCTGCCTCGACGCGTCGATCAAGTGCCGAGTCCGTCGTGTCCGTCGTGCTGTGGTGATCGACGTGCCCGTCGTACGCCGTCCCGCCCGCCGCGGCCAGGACGGTCCGGACCGCCGTCGCGAACGTGGCGCGTGGCGGTGGCGGTCTAGTGCCTGCGCGCCGACGTCGCGCCGACGGCGACGTGTGGAGTGGGTCCGCCGTGTGAAAGGGGTGGGCAGGGCGGGGCCGTGACGTCATCAGACAGCCTTGGTGATTTCCGTCCGATCGGCCCGTAGGCTGTGCGTGCGAGTGTGTGCGTGTGAGTGAGTGAAGCCGTGAACAGGTGGCCCCCCGGGTGGTGGCCTGGCTAGCCGAGTCTGGGCCCATCCATCCGTCCATCCAGGCGTGCCCGTCGGTGGGTCGCGCGGCCCGGTTCGACTCCCGGACTGCCCTCACTGTGCTCGCGACCGGGGCCCGGGGCAATTGGCCCCCGAGCCTCGGGGCTCCTCGTTGCGCCGCCGCGCCGCCGCGCTGCATGTGGGGCAAGGGCACTACTGGCTGGCTGCATAATGGCAGCGAACGCCAGGGTGGGGGAAGGGGGCGTCTCGGTAGACGCTGGCTGCGGGATTGAAATTGCAAAGTGGCTGCCGTGCCGCCGCGCAGGCCGCGCTCTGCCTCCTCGGGCCGCGTGCCGCCGCGTGCCGCCGCGTGCTGCGTCGCTGCGTCCGTCTCGTTGGCGTAGCGCCGCCAGCGTGGCGCTGCCGAGCCGTGTAAACAAAACACCTGCAGGCGGGGCGGGGCGGGGCGGGCGGTGGGAACGCGGCGTGTTTGCGCCCCGTGGCTCTGGGCCGTGGCTCTGGCCGGCCGAGGATGAGCGACGCGTCCGCAGGGCACCGGAACCAGAGTGCACCGGAGGGCCCGTGCCGGTTCCGGTGCCGGTTCCGGTGCCGCGGGGGTAAGTGCCCCGGGCTCCCCGGCCGCGGGGGTCAGCTCATCCAACTGCAGGGCCGCCAACACGAAGGCCGGCCAAAAGTGCCGGTGGCGGGGTTTGAACCCGGAACCTCGTCGTCCTGCCGGCAGTGTTGGTTACCGTTGTTGCGCGCTGGCCGGGGCCCTGGGCACGTGTCTGGCACGTGTGCGCCGAGGGAGGGGGGTGGGGGGTCGAAATCGAGCTCGAAATAGCACTAGAGAGCGTCGCGGGGGCGGCACTGGCGGCGGGACAGTGCAGTCGCCGGCTGCAATCGCATCACCGATTCCATCGACCCGAATTATAAATGAAAGGAATTCCGGATACCGGGGGGGGGGGCGTGCGTGCACATTGCCTCCGCGGGGGGTCGTTTGCGGCCAACGGTGTGCACAGTTAACTTTGTTTACTCTCCTTTTTTCCTAGTCCAGCCAGAGAAGAGTCTTTTATTGTACGTAATATGGTTTAGGAGACAGGGCGGTTTGAGACGTGTAGCTTCGTCTCACTGGCTGGATCGGCTGGACGCCCTCTCCGCCTAGATGTTTCTCACTTTTTCCGCTCTGTCGGGTAAAAGATATCGCTGCAGCGGCTTTGGCTACCACTATCGACGGTGCGGACAGCGCTTGCGGTCGTTGGTTCTACTCCCCGCGGAGGCGGGTTTGTCTTTTTTTTTTCTGCACGCTTCGCCCCACTGCTTATGACTCACCGCGCGCTACGCCCCGCCGCCCCGCCCCGCCCCGCCCGTTCCCGCCCGTGTGAAGTAAACCGCGAAGAAGACGAGATGCGTCGAGCTTGGGGAGGCCGCCGCTGGAGGGCGCCACTGGCGTCGCGACGCTGCGCGCGCTGCGCCGTGCCGTCGAGCCGCCGTGTGCCCGGGCTTTGCAGTGCGGGGCGCCGCCGGCAGATGGCGCCTCGCTCCTCCTTGGCAGCGGGCCGTGGGCCTGGCGCTAGGCGGGCTTGGCGCTCGCCGGGCGGGGCGTTGGTTCAACTATCAGCCTCCCATTCTCGCGGAGAAATTTTCGGTTTTCATTCATCGTGAGGCCGCGGTTGATGTGGGCTCCGCGGCTGGACCCGAGCGAAGAGGTCATGACCCATCTTCTCCAGCCCGCCCCAGGCGGCCCCAGGCCTCCAGCCTGCTCCAGCGTGCTCCAGCGTGCTCCAGCGGCTCACACCGGCAGGGGTTGCGGGCTTGGGGCCCGCTGGGACCGCGGCGGGGGCGGTTTGTGGCAGTGTGGCGGGCTGCGTGTGCCTGGCCGGGCCCTTTGCGGGGCCCTTTTGCGACCGACCCACCGAGACGTGGCGAAGAGGCGAAGGGGCATATTTCGGTCCCGCTAACGCTCTGCTCCGCTCTGGGTCAAGGCCTCGCCGTGTGGGGCGCCGAAACTAGTGTGTGCCTGGATGGCGTGGCGGCGGGGCTTGTCGCCGTGGTGATAGGGGCCCGCGTCAGACCCATGTCAGCGTGCCCGCCTGGGCCGCCTGCTAGCCCCACCAGCCCCACCGGGGCCGCGGTGCACCGGCCCCCCGTCGCGTTGCCGGCCGGGCCTCTGGTCGCTGTCGGGCCCACTAGTCGGCTTGGCATAAATGATTCTTTGATTCGCCATTCGCATCCCCCGCCGTGCCGTGTTCCTGGCGCTAGCCGTGCCGCCCCTGGCCGTGGAGTGCCTTGCGGCGGTGGCCCTGCCCGGCCCTCCGGCGCTCCTTCCTGCCGCCTGATAGTGCCGCTGTCAGCGCGCCGACAATAGCGCCCCGCCCCGCCAGGACCAGGGTAGGCACGAGGCACGGCAGGCCTGCTCGCCACTGTCGCCACACTGCTGTCGCGCTAGGCTGCCTCTGGCCTGGCGCTGAATGGAGCCATCGGGTGGCGGCTGGCGCCTTGCCTTTCCAGTCGCCTTGTTTTCCCGGCACTGGAAACGCGCGCCGTCCAGCGCCCCTCTCTGTCTCGCTCCGACTCGCGGCGAGTCCGTGTAGGCCCCCGGCGAGGCT